AAAAAAACCCTAGATTCACAACATTGAAGCATTTTGAGATCAAAAAGTGACCTACTTATCTCATCTCTCCTAATTTTCGTTTTTCAAGACTATGTTCCTATCGCCGACCACGAGGCAATGAGGGCACATCTTACCCAGCGACATATGGAAAAAAGGGATGGCAATTTGGTGAGTGGATGTTTGTAACATGTTAAATCCACACAAACCGTCATCGTTGCCTAATTCCTATTTTCAGTGTTGTCGGTATTGTCAACGGATCTTGACTCGTGGAGGCTGCGCACATTTGCTTTATGTATGCACGCAAACCCGCAAATGTGCTCTTTGTTTTGGAAATCAGTGCATGAAAAGCGCGGCAGAGATGACTGTACATTGGACAAATAAGCACTTGGATATATTGCGAAGGTGAAGGAAATAATTCTGTTCAAAAAACCTTGAATTCTTTTCTTTGCAGATTCCAATGCTCTGATTGTGGTATGACGTTTTGTCATGTAGAAGATTTTTGGGGTCACCAATGTCGTTCTCATTTCATGCAACAGAAGTGTAGTTGTGGATTCGCCGTGGTAGGTAGACCATTTCGATATCATTTGGCGTTCTCAACGTCACATTTTAGACTTTCTCATCACGAACCGCATTCTTGCTTCACTTTGGTATGCATATAGACGAAGCGAACATGACTTGCAAGTTATGTAAATTCAAGTTTTCATCAAAAGTTGCTTTACAGGTAAAAGTTTCAGTTTAATTCTTTTATAAATTTTATAAAACATCTTTTTTCCCAGAATCACCGTCTCTCACATGCTATCATGGTCAACAGCGCAACAGGGAGACAGCTGATGATTTTGGACCCGAAACTAGCTGTGCCAGAGGTAGATCCTTGACGTCATTGGCTACTAGGCTGTTTGTGCGCACCACGGTTTCGCAAAATAGAATTCTTTAATTGAGCCGTAGCTCGAACTACCGCACAGAATCACCGCTTGGCGCAAAAGTTTTCGAATTGAGCCAGCCGGCTGGCCCTAAGTTATAAGACTAGCTCGCCACTTTTTTTTT